GGCGATGGCATAAGCCCGCTTATATAGCTTTTAAGCAAAAGAGCGGGCTAACTTATATAGCTTTTAAGCAAAAGAGCGGGCTAAAAAGCTACAAAGTAGGGAAAAATCCCCACCTTTGCAATTGGGTTTATTGCAAGTATTGCAAAGAAAACGTGAAGGAGGGGCACCTGTGCTACATTCAGCCGTGGGGTGAAAAAGAAAGGAAGAGGGGATGGAAATATATTTCTATCTTCTGGGACAGTGAGACCGTTCAGGAGAAGGCGGTGCCCGGGCTCACCAACACTAACGAGCACGTACCCAACCTGTTGGTTTCACAGGCGGTGTGCGACGAGTGCTCACACATAGAGCAGAACGATTATTTCTGTGCTGTGTGTAAGACTCGCCAGCAAGTGTTCCACAACTTGGACAACCCCGATCTGAGTGTCATGGGGCAATTTATTGACTACCTGAGGTCATTCCCTGCCAAACATGCGCTCCTGCTGGTCGCACACAACTGCCGCTCGTTTGACGGCCCCATCCTTCTCCAGGAACTCCTCGCCAAGAAAATAGGGGTAGAACCTGTGCTCCAGGGTGGCAAAATCATAAGCATGAAGGTGGGCAACTGGAAATTCATTGATTCCCTTATGTTTATGCCAATGCCACTCAGTGCAATGCCTAAAGCCTTTGGGTTGACAGAACTCAAAAAAGGCTACATGCCTTTTCTGGTTAACAAGCCTGAGTTCTACAAATACGAGGGGCCCATGTTGGACAAGGCCTACTATTGTGTCTCCACAATGAAGGCGCCAGCGGCAAGGGAGTTCAATAAATGGCACGACGATCAAGTTGAAAAGAATTACGTTTTTAATTTCAGACGTGAACTTTTCGACTATTGCATTTCGGACGTGACCATACTCCGGCAGGCTTGTCAGGCGTTTAGGAAGCAGTTTCAGGAGGTGGCGGGTTTCGACCCGATGTTTAACTGCATGACGATCAGCTCCGCCTGTATGGCTGAGTTCCGCAGGAACTTCCTGAAAAAAGACACAATTGGTATAGTTCCAGCTGGGGGCTACCATGGGCGTGGCAAACAAAGTCACATGGCACTCAAATGGTTGGACTACGAGGCCCACCGCCTAGGAAAGAAAATTAAGACCATTTATACTGACCGGGAGGTGAGAGTGTCGGGAAGGCCAGTGGACGGGTACGTCGAGCTGCCTCTTCCAGCTGGAGGGGTAGAGCGGCGTATCTATCAGTTCCACGGGTGCTACTGGCACCAGTGTCCTGAGCACTTCCCTGCAACAGAAGATTCAGATGAGAACAAGTACACCAAGACTAGAGAGATCCCAGAACTCTTCCGCAGAGAGGGGTACACTGTTATCGAGATGTGGGAGTGTGAGTTTCAGACTCAACTCACTTCAAACCCTGAGATGAAGGAGTACTACAGACTCCACCCCACCACCAGGGTCCCTCCCCTCAACCTAACGGATGGATTGGCCGGCGGGCGCACCAGTGCTATGCGCTTGCACCACAAGGCAGATTGGGAAAATGGGGAGACAATCAGGTTCGAGGATGTGGTCTCGGAGTACCCGAACGCGAACCTCCGCGCCGAGTACCCCGTAGGCAACCCCGAAATCTTTGTGGAGGGGACACCCTGTAACCCCCCACCCATAGAGCAGTGGAATGGCATGATTAAGTGCACTGTGCTTCCACCACGGGACTTGTACCTCCCCGTGCTGTGGATGAAGTGCAATGGCAAGCTGCTCTTCCCTTTGTGCCGCACTTGTGCTGAGACGGAGAGCAGCGAAGTCTGCCGCCATGAGCCCCATGAGCGTGAGATCCTGGGCACTTGGTGCGCCCCTGAGCTCCACCTCGCTCTAAAGAAAGGGTACATGCTGCAGAGGGTACACGAAGTCCTCCAGTACCCCGGGACAATGCAGTATGACCCCAAGACACAGACGGATGGAGTTCTGTCAGCGTATGTCCGCTGCTTCATGGCTCTCAAAATCCAGGCAAGTGGCTGGCCTGCTGATTGCGAGAGTCAGGAGCAAAAGGACAAGTACGTGGCTGAGTATAACAATTTTCCCAATTCTTCTATTTTGTCGATGAGCTTCTTGAGTTACAAATCTTTGCAGAGTTTTGTAACTTTCAGACTTTAATGTTTGCTAATGAGAAGCTCTATACGATAACCAATCGTAAAGAACCCTTAACCCAGCATTCAAAAAATAGAACGCAAACAGTTTTTTTAACTTATGCAGAAGTGAAAACTCATCATCCCGAATACCTAATCGGTATCGATAATACTCAGCGAGCGATGGAAACCTATCATCTCGCCTAACTCCAGAATATTCCAGGTGAGCTGTTTCGCCGTGCATATGCAGAAGTGGAAACATCATAATGTCGAGAGTTCTCATGCTAGGGTTTGGGGCACCTAGAGCACGCTCATCTTCCCTCTGCTCTCTCGGAAAATACATGGCATCATACGTCATAGGTGGTAACCTTCCACTAAAAACGGCACCAACCCCATCAGCCACTGGAGTAATGTTGTACTGACCTCCTCGGCGCAATCTCTCCAAATAATCAGAAGCCCCAACTCTGGTCACACGCGTCCCAGGTTCTTTTGGATTGATCACCAAGTCGACGTCAGGTACTTCCCTACCTTCAATTCTCGCCAGTTCTTCCTCTTGCGCTTCTATTTCTTTAGTGGTACGGTAGGCCTGGACGTAAGTATTATTCTCACGAAGATACCTCTCTAATAACGTTAGTAATTCATTGGATAATTATTCATTGTAACGCAAGCCTTGTCGTCGTGGTCTTATGATTTCTTCTTCATTATCATTTGAATAATCCCAAAAAAAAAACACTTGTCCATGGTTTGGTGGCCTACTTTCATCACCTGGATCCCGATATGAATGGTTGTGCCACTTAACCTCGCCATTCACTTTAAGGGCCCACAAACCATAGTTTCGAGCTCCCAAACTCAAAATACCTCCCGAGAGAAAACACGTTGCAAATAATTTATTATATTTTAATATCTCTTGTTGAAACTTTTTCGCTTGCTCAGTATTTCCAACTAAGAGATCAAATACGACTTGGTCTGGCCTTCTGAAGACACTGCTTTCGGGAAGCTTAAACTTTCCATAGGTGCAACACGATGGGTCCTAAGAACAAAGTACGATCTCGCCGCGACAGTTCAACAAAGTCTGATCTCGCCGCGACAGTTCAACAAAGTCTGATCTCGCCGCGACAGTTCAACAAAGTCCGATCTCGCAGCGACCGTTCAACAAAGCCCGATCTCGCCGCGACCGTTCAACAGAGTTCGATCTCATAACCGGCGCGTTCCGAGTAAACGCGTTTTGAAAGTTCAGGGTCCAACGACAAATCACCGGATAATTTATGTTAAAAAGTAAAAGTCTTCCATAATTCTTCAGTCGTTCCTGAATATAAGGATACAAAAATAAAATTATTTGAGGTCGGTTTTGTCTTAGAAAATTAGAATTGTGTTAATCTTACCGCGGATTTGGCCCTTGGGCGTGGGCGTACATTCTACCATGAGCCTCGGCCTATGAAGTTTAAAAGTGACGTCACTGTTTTCCATCTCACAATTAGTAATGAAGGTGAAAGTAGTGGCATAACTTAGAGACCAAGTTTTCCAATCTTTTGAACCTCGCGCGCCTCTCCACTATACGGTCGGGAGCCCCAG